TTTGCTCCTTATACACTGGTAAAACCTCTGAGAAAGTAAGCCTACAGCCTATTCTGCTAAGTTCCTTCCCCAAGCTCTGGAAATCATTCTGCACAGAGAGTACATCTTTTTGGGACAGATCGTTAGTGCCAAGATGTACAATAGCCTCCACATCACAGCCCTTGCTGCCATTCTTAATTATTTTAGAAATATGTTTCTTGTCCCTACTGACAGTAGCACCTGGAAGACACCTGACCTCTTTCGAAGCCTCTGTGTCCTTTCCTAAATTTACATCCCTTATAATTGAATCACCTACCAGAAGGTAGCTTCTCTTTTTGGATGCCTTTCTGTTCTTGCATGACTGATGTGTAGATCTTACACGCCTGATGCATAAATCTTACGCGCCTGAGATGTGTGGCCACTTCTGTGTTATATACTTATTGCATTTCACTGTGAGCATAGTTTGTGGAATTTAATAGCTTCTGTAAAAAAGATAAAACCTATTCCTTTATCATGCCTATCACTTCCCTCTGTAAAATATCTTTGCAATTTCCCTTTAAACCATTTAAAATTCAAGTCCCAATACAGTATAATACTAAGAGGTAGAATTAAATACCCCATGCTTGCAACTAGTTTTTCTGGATTCCCTTTCTTCTTTCCCTTTTCTTCTTTCCTTCTTTCCTTCTTTCTTTCTTTTCTTCCTTTCTTCCTTTTATGCACAATATTTTAAGATTTGAACATTTTTGTTTCACTGTAAATAAGTCAAAGAATAGAGCTAATAAATTACAAAAAGTTTTTCATTATCAGGATTTTGGAACGCTATGTGCAAGACCAGATTCCTGGTGCAACAGTTGTGGTGGAATCCATTGGTGCTCGCAGATATGGTGATGGATATTCAGAAGAAGATTATTCCAAATCTGACCTCATGATCTATGCAATCGATCCTCAGACAAACCGTGCTATAATGAGGAATGAACTTTTCAAGTAAGTAGTTAAGTGCATTGCAGAAGTGAATATCATTTGGAAAAATAGACCAGTGCATTGACCAAATTTGCTTCAAAATTAGCACCTTTTGTTCTTCTACGTGCCTAATGTTTAAAGGTGCAGCTAATATCATACAGGGACCATATGAAAATGTTGAGTGACTTCCGGTTGGCTAGGGTTAAGAAGGTGAAGATTTTTCCTAAGATTCTCTCGGACCATAGTCCTGTATGGATGGAGATTTCAACTGATGGAGGTAGTAGAAGGACTTGGAGATTGAATGAGAATTTACTGAACTATGAAACAAATGTGCAGAAACTTAAGGATTATTTAAAAGAATTTTTTGCGTTGAACATGAATAAAGGCACCCCTATATCGATGGTTTGGGATGCAAGCAAAGCAGTTATGAGGGGTGCCTTAATTTCAATGAATTCTGCTTATAAGTGAAAACAGCAGCAAAATTATAAAGATATTGAGCAAGAGATAAAAATAAAAGAAAAAGCTTTCTCCTTAAATCCAATGGATAAGAGTTTAAAGGCATCTATTGTAATGCTGAAAGAACAGTATAATATGTTGCTTTCTGATCAAATTGCTATCAATCTGAAATATATGAAACATAATACATTTTGCAATGCAGATAAACC